AAAAAAAAAAAAAAAAAAAAAAAAAAAAAAAAAAAAAAAAAAAAAGACCAGGTGCGGTGACTCATACCTGTAATCCCAGCACTTTGGGAGGCAGAGGCAGGTGGATCACCTGAGGTCAGGAGTTCAGGACCAGCCTGGCCAATGTAGTGAAACCCTGTCTCTACTAAAAACACAAAAATTAGCTGGCTGTGGTGGTGGGTGCCTGAAATCCCAGCTACTTAAGAGGCTGAGACCAGAGAATCACTTGAACCTGGGAGATGGAGATTGCAGTGAGCCGAGATCATACCATTACACTTCAGTCTGGACAACAGGAGCGAAACTCCATCTCAAGAAAAAAAAAAAAAAAAGAATGAATAGAAAGAATGGATGGACACAAGAGAGAAATTCTCAGGTGAAAACCACAGATCCATGACCTACCAAACATACGGTCAGCAAACTGTTTTTCAAGGGCTGTCTTCTTAGGGAAGAAAGATTTTTTTGAAACATGTATATGTGTGTGTTGCCTGGGGGAGGTGGTATTTGGGACATTGCTCAATATTTTCCACGGTCAAACATAAACTATACTACACTCCAGAATGTACTCAAGATGTTTGGCATCAGTAGAGTATTCTGTTGCCATTCAGATGAACAATCTCTGCTTGGAAGGCGTTGAGGCGCAGCAACACTTTAAAAAGAGACCCTGTTTATTCACCCAGGGGAAGCAAAGAGAGTTTAACTGAAAATGGAAGGTTGGGTGGTGATATTGTTGACTGCAGCCAGTTGGAAGGTGGTGGAACAACCCTCACACCCTAGTCCCTGGCACAGTTTTTTCTGTAATAGAGATGCCGCTTGCCTAGCTGTAGTTCCCATTTCATTTATTACTTAATGCCAGGCATTAAGACAAATGACAATATTCTTTGGTATATTAGGAATACTGAAAGTATTTTGATTGGGTTTAAGAAGAAACAACATAAATTGGAGTGTTCTGATGTTCTGATGATGAAGGCCTTTGAATGTCATGCTTAAGGGTTTGGATTTTATTCCATTGCCAGTTGGGAGCAAGTAAAATTGTTTGTAGCAGGGAGTGACATGACAGAATATTTGTTTTTGTAAAGATCATCTGGTAGCAGTTTGCAAGATGGCTTGGAAAAGGATTTGAATGGAAGAAAGACAATCATTTAGGAGATTATTATCACAATGGAAGTCAAAGATGGAAGGCCCTTAGACAGTGAGAGAACTGAGATGAGGGAGTTGTATTTGAAAGACATTGATTTGAGAAATGAATAGAATCTTTCAGGAAGCTTAGCTAAATTGCATATAATCTTCACAATAACATTTTTTATTGAGTTGGCATTGAAAACCAACCTCGAACAGAAAAGCAAGCTAATTTTAGGCAATCAAATGTTTTATCAGTTTTAAAGGCAGTGAGATTGGGAGGAGAAAGAGAAAGTTTTTCCCTTACAAAGTATAATTGAATCAAATGGAAATTAAATGATACCTATTTTCACGATGCTGGGATCAAATTCTTGTCATAAAAGGCATTTGCAGCCTGATCTGCATGTCAGCCCCATGCTTCATTTTGACAGTTTGAAAAAGAGAACACAGCACATGTACGGGAAGTCAACGCCTACTTATGTACCTGTTGTTTTAGTGCTCCACCCAGAAATTAGTGTTCCAACTTGTACAATCTGTATTGCCCTGTTGACTGCTGGGGGTGAATGATTATCCTTAAGTTAGGAAGAAACTTTTTTTTTTTTTTTTGAGACAGAGTTTCACACTTGTTGCCTAGGCTAGAGTGCAATGGCGTGATCTCAGCTCACTGCAACCTCTGCCTCCCTGGTTCAAGCAGTTCTACTGCCTTGGCCTCCTGAGTAGCTGGGATTATAGGTGCCTGTCACCACGCCTGGCTATTTTTTTTTTTTTTTTTTTGTATTTTAGTAGAGACGGGGTTTTACCATGTTGGTCAGGCTAATCAGGAACTCCTGACCTCATGATCCACCCACCTCATCCTCTCAAAGTGCTAGGATTACAGGCATGAACCACCACGCCCAGCCAAGTTTTGTACTTTTTAGTAGAAACGGTTTCACCATGTTGGACAGGCTGGTCTCAAACTCCTGACCTCGTCATCCACCTGCCTTGCCCTCCCAAAGTGCTGGGATTACAAGGGTGAGCCACTGCACCTGGCCAGGAAGAAATTTTTAGGCTTAATTCCTTTGCAAGACTTTAAGATAATTAACACACAGGAATAATTTAAATATAAGGCAATATTGTGGTCTATGGGTTGTAGAATTAGACTGCCTGCTCTCCAATCCCAGTCCTTCCTATATCACCTGCTACCAAGAAACCTCAGTTTCCTCACTTGTAAAATGAGAATAGCAGTAGCTCCTAACTCATGGGGTTGCTGTAATGATCACATGAGTAAATCCTCAAACAGTTGTTAGTTCAGTACCTGGCACATAAAGCATGCTCAATAATTGTAGGTATTGATCATTATCTACAAGTTTTACTTTAGGACTGAAAGCAGTAGGAGATAAAGGGGCAAGCAGAGAGAGAGAGTGGGACTTCTTTGAGTTACTTCAACAGAAGGGCGAGAAGATTTTAAGTAGAGATTTAAAAACTTTTTTTTTTTGACGGAGTCTTGCTCTGTTGCCAGGCTGGAGTGCAGTGGTACGATCTTGGCTCACTGCAACCTCTGCCTCCCAAGTAGCTGGAACTATAGGCACGTGCCACCACACCCAGCTAGGTTTTTTTTTTTTTTTTTTTTTTTTCTGTATTTTAGTAGAGACAGGGTTTCACCATGTTGGCCAGAATGGTCTCGATCTCTTGACCTTGTGATCCACTTGCCTTGGCCTCCCAAAGTGCTGAAATTGCAGGTGTGAGCCACTGCTCCTGGCCAAAAACATGTTTTATTTTGTGAACTTTATGTTTAAAAAAAAACTGAATCTGCATGGAGTTCACACATCGTTACGTGCTTGCCTGCTGAAGGCATCTGAGTTGGGGACCCCTGTGTCTAGCCCCAAAATGCCATGTTTATCACCATATCTGGTTAAAAGTAGTGAGAAAATATAATAATGTATAGCACTGTATCTCTCTTACTTCCCTTTTTTAACCTTTTTTTTTTTTTTTTTTTTTGAGACAGGATCTGGCTCTGTCACCTAGGCTGTAGTGCAGTGGTGTAATGTTGGCTCAACTGCAGCCTTGACCTCCCAATGCTCAAGCGATCCTCCCACCTCAGCCCCCTACAGTAGCTGGGACCACAGAGGCACACACCACCATGCCCAACTAATTTTTGTATTTTTTAGTAGAGACAGACTTTCACTATGATGCCCAGGCTGGTCTGGAGCTCCTGAGTTCAAGTGATTTGCCCACCTCAGCCTCCCAAAGTGCTGGGATTACAAGCATGAGCCACTGGGACTGGAGTTCTCTTTTTAAAAAAAGGTATTTATTTTGTTGGACAGGGTGGCTCAAGTCTGGAATCCTAGCATTTTGGGAGGCTGAGGTGAAAAAATTGCTTGAGGTCAGGACTTCAAGACCATAGTGAGAACCCTGTCTCTTTTTTTCTTTTTTTTGAGACCGAGTTTCGCTCTTGTTACCCAGGCTGGAGTGCAATGGCCCAATCTCAGCTCACCGCAACCTCCGCCTCCTGGGTTCAGGCAATTCTCCTGCCTCAGCCTCCTGAGTAGCTGGGATTACAGGCACGCGCCACCATGCCCAGCTAATTTTTTGTATTTTTAGTAGAGACAGGGTGTCACCATGTTGACCAGGATGGTCTCAATCTCTTGACCTCGTGATCCACCCGCCTCGGCCTCCCAAAGTGCTGGGATTACAGACTTGAGCCACCGCGCCCGGCCTAGAACCCTGTCTCTTAAACAACAACAATAGCAACAACAAAACCAAACAAAAATTCTTTATTTACCTTTGCTAAAAGGATTTAGTCTAGGTCTTTATCTCATACTCTTCCATTTTTTTTTCTATTCCATAAACTGAAACTAGTGGCAACTTCATCCCAAACTTTGTCTCAAGTCTGGGAAAGAATCACAATGTAACAATATAATGTAATCAATGATGCAATGTTTGAAAGTCTTGATCATAGTAAAGAGAAATCTCCAAATTAGTACAGTTATCCTTCTGTATCCATAGGAGATTGGTTTCAGGACCTCCCATACATACCAAAATTCAAGGATGCTCAAGTCCCTGAAATAAAATAATATAGTATTTGCATATAACTTATGCACATCATCCCATATACTTTAAATCCTCTCTAGATTACTTATAAAACCTCATACAATGTAAATGCTATAAAAATAGTTGTTGTATTGTTTAGGGAATAACAATAAGAAAAAAGTCTGGGCATGCTTAGTACAGATACAGCCATTGATTTTTTTCTTCTGAATATTTTTGATCTATGAACCTACAGATATGGAGGAACAAACTTTTTCCTTCCTTCCTTCCTTCCTTCCTTCCTTCCTTCCTTCCTTCCTTCCTTCCTTCCTTCCTTCCTTTTGTTCCCTCCCTCTCTTCATATTTCTCTGTCTCTCTCTTTTTATTTCTTTCTTGACAAAGGCTTGCTTTGTCACTCAGGCTGGAGTGCAATGACGTAATTTTGGCCCACTGCAACCTCCGCTTCCTGGGTTCAAGAAATTCTCTTGCCTTGGCCTCCCGAGTAACTGGGATTACAGGCATGCACCACCATGCCTGGCTAGCTTTTGTATTTTTAGTAGAGACAGGGTTTCACCATGTTGGTCAGGCTGATCTCAAACTCCTGAACTCAAATGATCTACCCGCCTCAGCCCCACAAAGTGCTGGGGTTACATGCGTGAGCCACTGTGCCTGGCCCCAACTGTGTTTTCTTAAAAAGAGATTTTTGTGTATACAAGTCACTTTTTTATCAGGAAGAATACAGGCACTGAATTTGGAAAGCTTGATGGCACAGAAGTTCTGTAACTTTACATTTGTAGGGTATGTGACTGGACAACTGTTAGAGATTCGAAATGTTTAGTTTATGTTGCTGATATGTTCATCCATATAAACAGAACTGATGCTTTAATCCTCTTAAGTGTCTTCTGGGCAATGTTATGTATCATAACATAACAAATAACAAATTTTGGAAGCAAGTATCATGGCAGGGTACCTACCAGATTATAAAACTTCTCATACATAGGTAATATTCATGGTTTAAAAAAATTTTAAAGGCTAAAAATGACTGTGTCTGAGGCAAGAATATTTAACCATGATCTGAAATCACTGCAGGTCAAGATAGGCTTCCAAGAAGCCAGGCGACATGGTGGAAATCTGTATTCCTGTATCTTTGCTTTGAAGATGTTTGGTTTTTTGAAGATGCTTTGGTTCTCAATCACACATTGTCAATGACATTTATAGAAGTCCAGGGAGAATATCCGGTTTAGTGTGGGAACTGAATTGGTGGCAAACATATTCTTATCTTTTTTATTTCTTTTCTTTTTTTTTTAAAAGATGGGTTTCACCATGATGGCCAGGCTGGTCTTGAACTCCTGACCTGAGGTGATCCACCCACCTCAGCCTCCCAAAGTGCTAGGATTACAGGCGTGGGCCACCGCGCCCGGCCACATATTCTTATCTTAATTTACATCAAGATACTTTCTCTCTTAAGAAAAGAGAAGCCTTTTTCCTAAAGGGGAAGGAACATTAATCAGGGAACTTGCAGAACATATTGAGATTGCAGCCACTTCACAAAACAATACTGTTTATCATCCAAGAGGTAATAAGTGAACTTGGTGAACGAGTGGGAAGAAAAATTTGTTTCTGTAGCAACAGTAATGCTGTTTCAACACAGCAGAAAAAGGAGGGGGAAGAGGACAACAATTCTAGAACTTCCTCTCATTCATATAGATTATGCCTGAAAATATTTTGCCTCTTTTTTCTCCTAGGAGAAGATACAGAAGAGTAGAGGATAAAATGTAGACCTGAAAGATAAAGCACAGGTTAAAAGATTTGCTCATTGATCACAGCTAAACAATCTGGGTGCCAGGTTCCTTATTGTGATGGTTTAAGACATTCGTTATGGTCTTTAGTTTTGTTTTGTTTGGAGGCATTGTTTCACTCTGTCACCAAGGCTGGAGTGCAATGGCGTGATATGGCTCACTGCAACCTCCACCTCCTAGGTCCAAGCAATTCTCGTGCCTCAGACTCTGGAGTAGCAAGCCCAGCTAATTATTGTATTTTTAGTAGAGACAGGGTTTCACCATGCTGGCCAAGCTGATTTTAAACCCCTGGCCTCAAGTGATCCACCTGCCTCAGGCTCCCAAAGTGTTGGGATTACAGGCATGAGCCACCACACTGGGCCATCACAGACATTTTTAATTATTTTATGGTAATGAAGACAAAGCTAGCAATGGCAACACTCTGTTTTCTCATTGTCAATCTATATTTGGAACAGCTTGTTGAGTTCTGCAAAACAGACATTGGGAAGACCATTGGAAAACAAAAGTGGTGCAAAAGAAAGAACTCTGGAGGGTGATGGAGGGGACTTGAAATCACATATTTGTTGGAATCCTTAAGGAACCAGTGAGAAAGGAAGACTTAACGAGTTTGATGACTATCTTCAGATACTTGAAGATGCCAGGGCAAAAAATGTTGGCATAATAGTCAAGAAAATTTTGGCTTAGGAGAAGCAAGAACTTACATCTGTTTAATATCAGGAAAGTTACAAGCCTACCAACCAACAAAGCAAGCAAGCAGAATGGATTGCTTTGGGTGGGCACTAAGGGCGTCTGATCACAGCCTGGATGCTGCTGGCTGGGGATACTCCAGAAGGCACTTGACTCATGCACTAAGGGGGCTTTTCACATCATCTTTCAAGGGTAAGACTATGATAATGGACCTCACTTTTTAGCTCTTATTCTCTATTTACAGATTAGGAAGCTGAAGATAAAAAAAATTAAAGAATTTACAAAAACTCTTCAGAGGCCAGGAGCAGTGGCTTGCACCTGTAATCCCAGCACTTTGGGAGGCCGAGGCAGGCAGATCACCTGAGGTCAGGAGTTCAAGACCAGACTGACCAACATGAAGAAGTCCCATCTCTACTAAAAATGCAAAATTAGCTGGGCGTGGTGGCACATGCTTGTAATCGCAGCTACTCAGGAGGCTGAGGCAGGGAATTGCTTGAATCCATGAGGCAGAGGTTGCAGTGAGCCGAGATCATGCCATTGCACTCCAGCCTGGGCAACAAGAACAAAACTCCATCTCAAAAAAACAAAACAAAACAAAAACAAAAATTATTCAGTGGCATGGTTAGCATTCTTATCCAAATTGGTAAATGCCAATGTTCTTAACCACCAGGCATTTGGGGCACAAGAATCCTTCTTCAGGAGTGCTTAAACAGAGCCAGTCACGGTGGCTCACACCAGTAATCCCAGCACTTCAGGAGGCTGAGATGGGTGGATCACTTGAGCTCAAGAGTTTGAGATCAGCCTGGCAAACACAGTGAAACCCTGTCTCTACTAAAAACACAAAAATTAGCCAGGCGTGGTGGTTCATGTCTGTAAGCCCAGCTACTTGGAGGCTGAGGCAGGAGAATTGCTAGAACCCTGGAGGTAGAGGTTGCAGTGAGCTGAGATCATGCTACTGCACTCCAGCCTGGGTGACAGAGCAAGACTCCATCTTAAAAAATAAATAAATAAATACATAAAATATAAATAAATAAATACTGCTTAAGCCAGGAGAGAGCGATGCTGAATTTAGAGAATAACTCTATGTTCCTTTTCTAGAGCTGCACCTTTGGCTGAATGACAAAAGAAAACAAAACACAAAATAAACCATTCTTCCCTGCAGAGGAGGGTGACTTGACCGGAGGAAGCCCAGAATGATGATGATGCATGGAAAAGAAAGCCACTTCGGTTCTTTCTTAGACTCTGCCTCACCACTCCCCTCTTCTCACCTCCGCCTCCAGGACCAGTGGAACAGCCAGTTTATAAGAACAGTTTTAATTTCAGCTTTTATCCTACCTATAATTTAGTACTATGTCAGAGGTCCACACTTGACAGGGTCTGTTCTGTTCCTCGGGCTGGTTCTGACTCTGTTGTTTAAGTCCCTGCAAGATGACTTTATAAGAACCAAATTGCCAGACCAAATTGCCAACTCTTATCCAGCCTCTGGCAGCTGGATTCTGAGGAATAAATGAAGAGAAGACACTCAGGCAAATGCATATTCTTGTTTTTGTTTGTTTTTTAGACAGAGTCTTGCGCTGTCACCCTGGCTGGAGTACAGCAGCAAGATCTCTGCTCATTGCAACCTCCGCCTCCCGGGTTCAAGCAATTCTCCTGCCTCAGCCTCCTTACTAAATGGGATTATAGGTGCACACCACCACACTAGGCTATTTTTTGTATTTTTAGTAGAAATGAGGTTTCACCATGTTTGCTAGGCTGGTCTTGAACCCCTGACCTCAGGTGATATACCCACCTCAGCCTCCCAGCCTCCCAAAGTGTGTTGGGATAATAGGTATGAGCTACCACAGCCAGCCAAATGCAAATGCATATATATATATATAAATATATATATATATATTATATGTGTGTGTGTATATATATATATATATATATTTTTTTTTTTTTGAGACAGAGTCTCACTCTGTCACCAGGCTAGAGTGTAGTGGAATGATTTTGGCTCATTGCAACCTCTGTCTCCTGGGGTCAAGTGATTCTCCTGCCTCAGCCTCCTGAGTAGCTGGGACTACAGGCATGTGCCACCACGCCAGCTAATTTTTTTGTATTTTTAGTAGAGATGGTGTTTCACCATGTTGGCTGGGATGGTCTTGAGCTCCTGAACTTGTGATCCACCTGCCTTAGTCTCCCAAAGTGCTGGGATTACAGGTGTGAGGCACTGTGCCTGGCAAGATTTCATTGCAATTTTAAAAAATTTTTGTAGAGATGGGGTCTTGCTATGTTGCCCAGGCTGGCCTAGAACTCTTGGGCTCAAGTGGTCCTCCCACCTCAGCCTCCCAAATTGCTAGGATTACAGGTGTGAGCCACTGTGCTCAACCCAGTCTTTCTTTTTTTCTTGTTGTAGTTTTACCCTCAAAACTGCCATCACTTTTTTTATTCTCTCAATACACAATTGTGCACAAAGGTTTGTGATCTATCTCTGAACATCTGGACAGCTCACTCTGCACATCCAGGGATTCCAGCCAAAGGGATATTTTCCACGTTGGTTTTCCCCTTGATCCACCCAAAAGTTCAGATTATCTGATGGAGGGCTGAGATTAGGGTCAGACAGGTGAAGCTGGGTCATGGAAGAAAAAAGTAGGACCGGCCGGGCGCGGTGGCTCAAGCCTGTAATCCCAGCACTTTGGGAGGCCGAGGCGGGTGGATCACGAGGTCAAGAGATCGAGACCATCCTGGTCAACATGGTGAAACCCCGTCTCTACTAAAAATACAAAAAATTAGCTGGGCATGGTGGCGCATGCCTGTAATCCCAGCTACTCAGGAGGCTGAGGCAGGAGAATTGCCTGAACCCAGGAGATGGAGGTTGCGGTGAGCTGAGATCGCGCCATTGCATTCCAGCCTGGGTAACAAGAGCGAAACTCAGTCTCAAAAAAAAAAAAAAAAAAAAAAAAAAGAAAAAAGTAGGACCTTATCTTTGTTTAAAAATTTGATATTTTGTTAATCATGGATTTTTTCCATTAATTTTAATTACTGAGGCTTTTGGTGCCCTGTTAAATTTTGGGCCAAGTGCGGTGGCCCACGTCTGTAATCTCAACACTTTGGGAGGCTGAGGAGGGCAGATCACAAGGTCAGTAGATGGAGACCATCCTGGCTAACACGGTGAAATCCTGTCTCTACTAAAAATACCAAAAATTAGCTGGGCATGGTGGTACATGCCTGTAGTCCCAGCTACTGGGGAGGCTGAGGCAGAACTGTCTGAACCTGGGAGGCGGAAGTTGCAGTAAGCTGAGATCATGCCAGTGTACTCCAGCCTGGGTGACAGAGCAAGAATCCATCTCAAAAAAAAAAAAAAAAAAAAAAAAAAAATTACCTCAATTGCCTTATCCTAGTTCTGACCTGCCGTAACACTTGATCCCATTTAAGCCATGGAAATTAGATAGTCCTCTGTGTTGAAAAAGCATTGGAACTTAGGAGAGATGGTTCTAAAACGTAGCTCTGACTATCACTAGCTGTGTGACTTTGGATAGGTCAGTGACCCAACTGGGACCCCAGATGTCTCATGTGGAAAACACAGGTGACATCTAATTCTAAACCTTTATGATTCTCCCCTGGTGTTTCCTAACTGAGAAGCTCAAAGATGGCAGCACCGCATATTCTAGCTCTTTGATTACTCTCCATGCCTCAAATTAGCACCAAATCCAGTCCCTTGCAGAGTGCACATTCAAACAATGTCTTCCAGTAAATGTTTTTTTTTTTTTCCATTTATTTATTTTATTGCATTTTAGGTTTTGGGGTACATGTGAAGAACATGCAAGATTGTTGCATAGGTACACACGTGGCAGTGTGATTTGCTGCCTTCCTCCCCATCACCTACATCTGGCATCTCTCCCCTTGCTATCTCTCCCCAGCTCCCCACCCCCCACCGTCCCTCCCCTATTTCCCCCCAACTGACCCCAGTGTGTAGTGCTCCCCTCCCTGTGTCCATGTGTTCTCATTGTTCAACACCTGCCTATGAGTGAGAACATGCGGTGTTTGATATTCTGCTCTTCTGTCAGTTTGCTGAGAATGATGGTTTCTAGGTTCATCCATGTCCCTACAAAGGACACGAACTCATCGTTTTTGATGGCTGCATAATATTCCATGGTGTATATGTGCCACATTTTCCCTGTCCAGTCTATCATCGATGGGCATTTGGGTTGGTTCCAGGTCTTTGCTATTGTAAACAGTGCTGCAGTGAACATTCAGGTGCATGTGTCCTTATAGTAGAACGATTTATAATCCTTTGGATATATACCCAGTAATAGGATTGCTGGGTCAAATGGAATTTCTATTTCTAGGTCCTTGAGGAATCGCTACACTGTCTTCCACAATGGTTGAACTAATTTACACTCCCACCAACAGTGTAAAAGTGTTCCTATTTCTCCATATCCTCTCCAGCATCTGTTGTCTTTAGATTTTTTAATGATCGCCATTCTAACTGGTTTTTACACATTGGAACAAAAATATAGATCAAAGTCCAAACCAAAAAGCCTACACAAATTAAAAACATTCTGCAAATGAAAACAAAACCTTCCCAAACAAGAATATTGTACCTCCCTCATTCCTCCTACAGAAAAGAACCAACTGAAATCATTGGTGTTTCTGATTCGTTTAAGTATGGCAAAGTCTTACTACATTTTTTTCCCCCAGGAAATAGTCTATTCAAATATTTCAGATTTCAAGTGAAGCAGACTTATGTAATCATTCTGCCCTTGGGGATTTCTGTCCATCTAAAGATGCTAGAACCACCCTAATGAGTCACAGTTCATAAAATGTAACATCTGTGAGAGAAGGTTATAAACATCAGCAGTGCCCAAAACAGCTGTAGAATTTTAAAAGAAACAGAATTTCCACTTCCCAACTAGTTCTTCATATTTAAGTTGGCATAACTAGAAAGCAGACAGAGAGAGCATTTGTGCATATAGCCCAAATCCCCTTTTCTTTTCTCCTTTTTTCCTTGAGAAAGAGAGAGAGAGGCTGGATGCAATGGCTCACACTTGTAATCCCAGAAATTTGGGAGGCCCTGGTGGGCAGATTACTTGAGACCAAAAGTTTGAGACCAGCCTGGCCAGCATGGTGAAACCCTGCCTCCACTAAAAATAGAAAAAATTACCCGGGCATGGTGGTGCATGCCTGTAATCCCAGCTACTTGGGAGGCTGAGGCACAAGAATTGCTTGAGCCTAAAAGGTGGAGGTTGCAGTGAGCAGAGATCCCACCACTGCATTCCAGACTGGGTGACAGCACAAGATTCTGTCTTGTTTAAAGAGAGAGAGAGAAAAAAAAAGAGAAAGTGTGTGAGTGTGAGCATATGCATGAGAAAGAGTGCAGGGAGGGAAAGAGGCAAAGGAGAGAGGGAAAAGATACTGATTCAATGGTAAAATACATGACCTTAAAATATAAAACACATTGGTGGCCGAGTGTGGTGGCTCACGCCTGTAATCCAAGCACTTTGGAGGCCAAGGTGGGCGGATCACCTGAGATTGGGAGTTCAAGACCAGCCTGACCAACACGGTGAAAACTCATCTTTAAAACAAAACAAAACAAAGCATATTGGCTGGGTGTGGTGGCTCACACCTGTAATCCTAGCACTTTGGGAGACCAAGATGGGTGGATCACCTGAGGTCAGGAGTTCAAGACCAGCCTGGCCATCATGGTGAAACCCCATCTTTAAAAATATATAAATAAATAAATAAATGAAACATATTTTGGGAGCTCCTTTCAGTCTCGGCTCGATCTTGTCTTCAGTCTCGGCTCGATCTTGGCTTGATCTCGGCTCACCGCAACGTCCCACTCTTGGGTTCAAGTGATTCTCCTGCCTCACGCTCCCAAGTAGCTGGGATTACAGGCATGTGCCGCCACACCTAGCTAATTTTTTGTATTTTTAGTAGAGTTGGGGTTTCTCCATGTTGGTCAGGCCAGTCTCAAACTCCTGAACTCGTGATCCTCCCGCCTTGGCCTCCCAAAGTGCTGGGATTACAGGTGTGAGCCACCGTGCCCAGCCCTATGACATCTTTTCCGCATACGTATTCTCTAACCAGTGGTAGAAATGAAAGGGCAAGAACCACTTCAGATACCTCTTGACAATTTTGTAAATTGCTTCTGGACACAAAGAGTATATACCAGTAGCTGTATAGTAAGTCATTTTAATTTACTTAATCTTTCTTTCATAGTTGATATTAGCCACCTTGTCCCAGAAGCAAAGGTCTTGTACTTGCGGGAAATGAAAGTGACCTTCTAAAGGCCATTAAGTATGGTGGGTCACAGAAAGAATAGATGTAGGTACATATCTGCACTGTCTATGGTGTCAATACTTTAGATAATTCAAAAGCCAAGTACATCTCCAGGTATTCAAGTTCAAGAAAATAGTTACAAAATATCTTGACACGTATACCAGTAATACAATATATCTTCACGGAAACATAACACAAGCGTTTTTTCTTTTTATGTTTCTATTTTATTTCTATA